GAAAGGAGGTTTTGGCCTACTATACCACGCTGGCCAGACGGGTTGGTATAGGGTTTGTGTCAAGTTTACCTTCTCTCTGCAGTATAATAGTATTTATAATAGTTTTAAAAGTTATTTATTCAAGCATAATGTAAAATTGAGAACTTAATGTTATCAGTAGAGAATAATTTAGTAATCAGTTTGTATGATTTTAGGTGATTTAGGTTATGCTCAAAGGCCATACCTAATGACGCCTTTAATTAACCCGGATGCTGAGTCTCATTATAATATTGCACCTTGCACCTACCGACTATTACTTTTTCCAAAATTTAGACAACTTTTTAGTGGGTAAAAAATTCAATTCCCGAGAGGCAGTACAAAATGCCTTTGAAGAGTTTGTTGCCTCCCGTCCAGCTGATTTTAACAAGAAGGGCATCAAAGATGTGTCGATTGCATGGGTGATTACTTCGAATAACAGAAATAAAAAAGTTTGAAAAAATAAGTACTTTCACTTATTGCATACAAAACGGCAATTTCGTAGGTAAAGACCTAATATATAAATTGACTTGCCACTGTCATTACGTTTTGGATCAATGAACAACGATTGCCTAAATTATAAATTGCTCCAATCGCTTTCTTTTGCAGCACAAAAAAAGTTTGAATGTCGGCAGTATTCCCCCACAGTAGAATACCGTACGACATTATGCTATGAAAATAACTGAAGTAAAGAAGACGTGCTGTATCAATATCAGTCAATTACTGCGTACGCTGGCTGAGCTGAGTCTGCTCGATAATTTATCTATTTGTGGGCCCTACTGTAGCTTAGAATCTAATGTTATTCCTAAAACTGTTGTTGTATCCACAAGGTTTAGCTCGAAATCCTTAATCATCACGGTGGTTTTTATTGGCTTGACGTTCGGCGTGGTGAACCGTATGCACTTAGTTTTTTTTTCATTCAAAAGCAAATCATCAATCATCATCATTCAAAACAATGAATCACTTTCGAAATGGCGCTGTTCAAGTCTGTGAAATTCGTAAGTGTGCGTTCATGAGTTTGACTCCTCTAAATAACAGTGATGTATCATCTGCAAACAACACGAGCTCGTGATTATCCTTGACAAGGTAAGCTAAGTCGTTATGAAAACAAAAATGGACCGAGAATAGAACCTTGTGGAAGGCCCATTTCTACCGCAGAACCCGGAGGTCGCTCACCGTTAATATCAACTTTCTGAATCCTATTAGTTAGATATGAAGCAAGAAGTTCGAGTGCTTAATTTTGATACCATAGTGTACAGCACTATAACAGCACATATGCCTGATCAGCGTATAGCAAAATTAATTAATAGCAAAATATTGACTTCAATAAAAAATATCTCAAAAACTACGCGTCTCCGCATGTTGAATCTTCGCGTGTGTATTTATAATAATGTAGCCTTTCTGTAAAAAAATATCAACCCCCAACTCGACCGACGTCAGTAGAAAGCTAAACCGTAAGCTTACATACCATTACAATAGATTCATTACATTCTGGATGATCAACAACTGCAGACACAGGAACATCCATTGCAACTTGAGTTGATGGATAGACACATTTAAAAAAATGGTATTATGAAATATCTTCATAGGAAATATACTTAACTATACATAATACAATTCTAGAAGCTTCACCTCAATAAATTAAAAGTGATGATAAAACATAATAACATGGAAAAGTTAATTTCTAATACGCTAGCGCCAATAGCAGAACCTTCTCTACTCATTATGGCCACAACTCTTTCCTCCATTGAGCATAAAATTGTTTGTTCTCCCACACCACTACCAGTTTGCAGTCTAGTCATACACATTGAGCTGACTTTTTTCTTGATGGCTACATTTTTGCCCTTCCTTTGCCTTCTGTTATAAAAAAAAAACGTAAAAAAAGAAAATTAATAAAACTTAATAAGGTATACGCCAATGTTGTAAAAGCAATTGTCTAGGTCAATAATATTTACTCACACTTTGAAATGAAAATTGGTAATGCTGGAGCCACCAGCATTACCAATTGGCTTGATGGCTACTTCTTCCCAAGCTGTTTAAGTCTTATCTCGGGCTTGAGTATGATGCCCTGTGGCTAGAAAGCGTTTTTCGCTTTTGAAGTGCAGTAACTTTTCCACTTGCATCGGTGATGGGACAGCACTTCTTGACATTCTTAAAATGGTTATTTTATTTTTATTTTTATTATCAATAAAGCGATAATGATATTAATGACACTTTCCGTGAGGTGACGGATTAAGGATACGGAGTGTCACTACTCCTATTCATCCCGTGGGCCAATCAATCGTATACCAATTAGTGGACTATTAAGGGTTGTTGATGTGATGTGATAGTAATAAAAATACACGGTCGGCCGCTACGGATTACAACTTGCGGATCAGACACAGGTGATCTCCAAAGCATCCCTTCCCGAGACTTTGTGTTCCTATTATATATATTATATATATTTGACTTGTTTTCTTTATTCTTATTGATACTTTTTTATAATCTTTCAATGTTAAAACTTTAGGTTTCAATTTTTTAAATGACAGGTATATTGTCTCTTAAATTTCTTGACATAAGTGATTGAGCTGGTGACGCTAAATTATTTTTTGGTGTATTTCTATATTGCAATAATGCTATGTATGGATCAGAGGAATTTTCTTCCCATTTTTTCAACATACTTTAGACAATTTTCACTGAACTTTCTGCTTGACCATTCGACTGTGGATGATATGTAGATAGTGACAATAAGTTCTATGTCCCATTCATGTAAAAAAATATTGAATTTGAAGGACTGGAACGGTGGACCACCATCAGACACTAAAGATAAAGGTATTCCATGACGAGCAAAAATAGATTTTAACTGTATAATTACATTTTTTTCGGTACTATTTATATATATTTATACAGAAATCCCACCAGTAGCGCCGTCAAAGGCGATAAATCACGAAGCTAATGTTTTTAACGCGCCTAAATATCTTTGGCCAATCGCATAGTTACTTTCGGTTTACGTAGTTAAGCTCGCTCTTTTAGCGTGGCGTACGGATGCGCGTGCGCCGTTGACCGTTAAAGCTATGTGTGACTACGAACACGTGTCACTGTCCGCCGTCCACTGTCATACGTCCGGTACCTATATTTGAAGGTCTTTTTGTACAAATGTGTGTAAGTTCGATGTAGGCGATCTTTTTCTAGGTAATAATGACGACATTGTTTGTTACGGCGACCGCTTAAACCACTAGGCTATCCGTGCAGTCAATTGGCACGACCTTGTGTAGGATGACTTCTACACACAGTCCATTGCTTAAAGTTCCTAGAGTAAGAGAAGAGAATCATTTTTGGCATACATTTCATACTTATAACGATTGCAAGACTTTGTATCCATCATTTTGTATTTCTTACCATAATAATAAAAGTATGCAGTATGCAAGCGAGAATGCAGCATATCTGTCACGGCACCGGCGCTGCTCGACTCCGGCAGTCCCACGCGACCTTATCGTCGCAGATCAATTCAACGCTCACCACCGCAGCTTTGGCTTGATGGCTGGCTTTGCCGGCCAGCATCAGCCGCGCCGGTGAGCGTTGAAGCCACTTCCTCCTCAGCTCGCGGGCCTCCTCGACCCTCCGCGCCTACGCGGGCTTATATTACACTCTTAAGGGTAGGGCAAACAAGACTACGTGGAGTCGGTTTTGGTGGTGCGATTTTTTTATGTCACAAACTTTTGTAGCAAGACATATGACTTTTTAAGATAATATTTTAATTTAAGGTTAAAAGTGCTATTTTATCGCAATATGCCTACTAAAATTATGCCAAATGAAATTGTACCAAATAATCGTCGCTCTAAATAAAGAAATTATGCGAAATTTTAACTCTGCCAAAGGTCAAGGTGTCTTTCGGGCAAACAACTATTATACTAAATAATTTTTACTACCACAAAGCCATTAACCAAAAGTTGAATTGAATTAAATAATTTTTATGCCTTAAAAATACTCGTTTAAAGAAAATTCCTCCACGTGTGATATGCGAAATAAATTTCGGAGCATCGAGATTCGGCGATAAATCGGTCGATTTTGGACCAATGATCACTATTTTTCAATATTGCAATGCTTTACAGTTTCGACTCGAACCGCCAGGATAGGAGGGTCAAATGATCACCACAGACGCCACCTGAAACACTAAATTCATTACTTTCAGCGCAAGAATTTCTATCAACGCATTTCTTGCAGAATATTCAAAATTACAATAGTGTTTTCAAAATGACATCATTTGGTGCAAGTATAATTGAAGAACGTGATTTCAATCCAACTTTTAAGATATGTTTTTTGCTATGTGAAACACATTATGCACATGGTCGTATTGTAAACAGCAAATTCAGTCATTATCAACTTAACGTGTAACATTTCTGGTACTTTTTAACTTAACGGGTTAATCACTTTCAATAATCTTATGGAATTTTTGATGATCCAACTTATTAGAATTTACCGGAAGTGTGACATTTCCTTAGTCCGCGATTGTGCATCGCCCGTGTACCATAATACCGAGGCGGGCATAAATAGTAAAAAAAGTCTTTCAGGAATTTAGAAAATATTCACGAAAACAACGGTAACGGTAAACAACGATATTATTGGCGGCAAATATGTATGTATACAATACAATAAACGTCTATATATTATGTGTAGCTAATAGGAGAACCTGGTGCTATTAAATAATAATATTTTTAGACATCTGACACAGTTCGATTAATTTTCACTTCAAAGATTTCCTGTAGACTGCCGTACGTTACGTGCTTTAAATGATACTCTTTTCAGTAATTTATTTTAAAAATATTTTTTTCATTCTAAAAAACTTCTAGAAAAAAAGCGTAGACACATTGTTAAACCTGTCAGTGAAACATCCATTCAACCACATTCAACAAAACCTAACAGAATCGAAATTTTTGTGTAACAAAAAAAATTGTATACTTTGAAACTAAGACTACCCCTGTTTACCCTATGATTTTAAATTTGCCATGGTATGTTAACTGGTATTGTATACTTAATGCTTAGTGGTTCGAGCTGTATTTTGTATTTGATAAGAACTTCAATTTCTCGTGTTTTCTAACCTATAGCAGAAACCGAAGTGTATAACGGGGTAGGCAGGCAGGAAAGTGAAACGAAAAGTGAGAATTCTATCATTTGATATTTTTTTAATGAAAGAAGTAGCCAAAGAGCAGACAGGTCAGACAGAATGTGACTACCGCCGCCAATGAACACTTGCCACTCAGAAGTCACAAGTGCATATACAGAACAAACAGTGTGGGTGCACACAGCCTTTACAAATATGACACCAGCATTTACAGATATGAAGTAGGAGCATGCACCGCCGATAATTGGACGATGGTTTTTATAAATATTACTGAAGTAAAAGTTACATGGGACAAAATTTACTGTCAGTGATCTGTGTTATAAACATTTTGTTGATGACTTCTGATTTTTACTTTTCTAAGAAGTAGATAGCTCCCTAAGTGTCAATATCCACTATTTCTTATCTGACGATGAACAGTAATTGAATTAATTACTAATAAATTTAGTAAATTATTTTTGTAAAATATTTGTGTCGACAGGCAGCAGCCGCACAAGATAGGAACTTTAAGAATCATGCTAAAACACAAGCAGAAGAAGATGCGTATGACTATGCAAAGGAAAGAACCGGAATGATCCAAACCAGGTAATTTTTTTACATTGTCAATGCGTTGGTTGATATTGTTTATCTTTGTTGTCTCACATAGAGCGTAGGACCTCTTGATAAGTTCAACAGCAACAACGTCAATGTTATTGTATTTATTAAGCTGCGATTTTGTCCGTAAATTATTTAACCAAGTAATCAAAGGCACTATTGACATCTGCTAAATCCTCTTCTATCTCCTTGATAGAAGAGACTTGCGCAAAAACTGTTATCATGCAACTTGCGCAACCTAAACATTATGATGGTTTTAAACTTTGCTAAAAAATATAAGATACTATGAGGTAGTATGATAAGTGCGCATTAATTATGCGCCACCTTGGATCGAGCGCCTCGTTCTTAAGTTTTTCAAATTCAGTTTGAGAATTGACGGTGGGAATGTGAATGGGCGAGCTGGTGCGGGCTGACTCTGAAAAACATACATTGACCAGATCAACAGTATACTGAAGAATGATCAACATCAACATCAACAGCCTATAATAGTCCACTGCTGGACATAGGCCTCTCCTTAGAAATGAGGTTTTGGCCTACTATACCACGCTGGCCAGACGGGTTGGTATAGGGTTTGTTGCAAGTTTTCTGTTGTCCTGCATAGTTTGTTCCCTTAGTCGGCTCTTACGACACCCACGGGATGAATAGGGATGGTGACATTCCGTATTCTTAATCCGTCACCATACGGACAGAAGAATGAACTCGTTGAAAAAACCTTAATCGTGTGTGACCTTTCACTTAATGAATGTTACATGATTAATGTACAGTCAACGACAAAAAATTATGATCAAAAACGGATTGTCACAACTACTGAACAATTATTGGAAAAAAGCTACGTTTCCACACGTAAAAAATAAAAACTAGGTGGAAGTTTAGACTAACTCAGCGTTTTCCTTCATTAAAATTGCAGGATCAGTCTTGCTACAATCACCAGAGATGTATATACATTCAATTATTTTAAAAGGTACATTTTGACAGTTATAGCTTAGGGTCGGGGTGTCTACAAATTGATAGTGAAAGTAATCGATGCAGATAATATGGTGACTTATACATACAATGAAACAACAACATAGTTCAACACTATGCAGTGCAGTGGATGATGTGAGGGGGCGAACCATTATCTTTCGCCCCGAACCAACCTCACCTGCACGCGGTGCATCCTGTTGAACGGCGAACGAGGCATGGCGGCCGGTACAGGACAGCAGCGTCACTGGTGCGACAAGCTACACTCTGCGATCGCCAACCTGCCTACTCAGCGTGGCGATTATGGGCAAAACCTTCCTAAGCAGGCGCAACAGGCGCGCAGTGGAACATCCACTTGGAGTCTATTTAGAGGAGAAAAAAAGTCTAGGCTAGTGAGTTGTTAGATGAGGACAATTTTATCTAACGGCGCTTTTAAGGTGGACTTTAGTCATCTATATAGACTCTGATACAAATTTAAGTGTCATCCACACAACGCCATCTCCAACCCGAGACATCTACACGGCAGTCGCATATACTACCACTGCGAGGCAGTCAGTCAGACAATGTTATGTAAACGTAAATGTAACAGAAGTCTTGGTTTTTTAAGTTCTTGGTGTTTCTTCATCTGTTTATATGACAAATGGGAAATGATAGTACCAAGATTTTAAAAACGGTCTTAAGTTTTTCATTTTCATTCTGTACGCTGACCGATATTTTGACGCCTCACTGGTGGCATTTTTCTATCAATAACAATAAATAACAAATTTTGTCGTTGCTAAAGAAGTGGCAATTGAATATAACGGAGGACCGGTGTATGTGTCGTTTTTAAAAAGAGTGACGTCGGCAAAGCCTTTGGTTTTTTTACATTGTCGTGGTTTTCTTTCCTAAAAGCTGTAGTAAATAACAACAACACTAAATACAAATAAAATGGATTCGAAGTTCTTACCAAGAGTTGTACATAGATCCGTGGGGTCCGACGGTAGTAAATAAAGACGATAGTAAATACAATCAAAGATGTATTGTATTCCAAGGTCTTATCAACAGTCGTAGATAGATCCGTAGGCTGGTAAATAAAGACTTTAATTAAAACAATTAAAGATGTATTCCAAGGTCTTAATATCTTAATTCCAAGGTCAATATACGGAAGATCTCTCATGGTCATCTGTATATCGTCGGCTTATTGCAAGAAGTCATTGTGACATATTCATTATTTTGGGAAAACGGCATTTTAGTTGGAGTTAGTTAGTGGTTATGTTAATTAGCCCATATTATCCTTAATACATAATTACAGTGAGAAAAATTAAATGTTTTGGATTTGCTTAATATGTATATTAATTAAAACAAGTGAGAGTCGGTAGTCATATAAAATTATATATATTTTATAAACCAAAACTAAAAGTTAATGACTTCTTGCTACTGTAAGTCGGTTTGATATGTGAATTAATTATTTCTTAAATTAAAATAAAACAACAAATTACTTATCAAACTTTTATTGAAATAAACAAAAACGAATAATAAACAAAAACAATGCTTTCTTAACAGTTGACGTAAGAACTTGCAATAGCTAATAGCCAAGTACTCACGACAACTTCGCAGTCTCAAAAGTTTTCCGTAATAATAAACTAAAAAAAATTTTCTTCTCCCTATTAGTCAATCAATCAATCATATTATTATATTGTTATAATGAAAAGTAGGAACTGAGCTTAAACACCACACAAAAACATAAAACAAATAAAAAAACATCCGTATCAGAGGTTTCTTCTTCAGGAACATAATCTGGACCTTCTTTATCAGGTAAATTATTATACCAATGATATAGCTCTGCAGGTATTATTCTTTCGTTGCACATTTTAGTTAAATCCTTTTTCTTTAATTTTGTGATTGGATGCTTCCTGGTATATGCTTTTTTAAGGCAATAGCTGTTGTAGTCAAATACATTTTCTGTTTCCTCATTCTTACGCTTCCGAAGATTTTTATTAGTAGACACAATCGGTGTTTCTTTTTTCGATACGTCCAGTTCTTTAAAATTGGAAACGTAGTATACCTATATTGAACAATGTTAGGCCGCTTTTTTTTCAAACTTAAAGCATTTAACCTTCACTGCACTGCACTGTAGCTTCTGTCCTACAGAGTCAATTGACCTATTAACCATTAATTTGTTTCTCAACTCTTTTAGGTCCAAGATATCAGAGTGGTTCATTACAATAGGTTCATACGGCTTTTTTGCTGTTTTTTTCTTGTTTAGCTTTCTGTTCGATCTAGCCAATCTTATAACATTACAGAGGTCTATCATAGAAAAAATTGGCATAAGACGCACTTGATTCTCGATAGCACTATGCATACTATCGACCTCCATATGTGTGTGGCCCGATTCTAAATACTTATGTTCAATCACCTCAAGGTGGGTAATTTGAACTAAGTATAGCATTAAGCATAACAGAAACTGATTACGATTTTGACCTCCGCAAGTATCAGAAAATATAGATATTTCGGTAACTGTTCGTGGTAGACGTTGGATCCAAAGATATAGTGCGGTTCCCACTTATCACTTCCTTTTTTTCCATTTACTTCAGACCACAAGTAACAAAAACCATCATTTGGAGAACGGGCTTCATAAATGGTAGCATTGTAAACGTTTAATTTACGCAAGTAGTAAAGTAGAGAAACATCACTACTCGGCAAGTGCAATACTTTTTGTAAGTCGATCGTGATTGAGTTAAAGCTGTTATCTTCATTCGCCCGAACTTTATCCAACTCTTTAGCATAGCGACTTTGTTATTTTAAAGACATGTGCTCATCATACATTTGCTGCAAAACAGCAACATCAGAGGCATTTTCAGCTTTGGCTCGTTAATATTTATGGCACATTAAACATGGGCCTTCTTGGGTTTATAAAAATCTAAATTGTACTGAGTACAAAAAATATTGCGATAGACATTTATGGAAATAGGCGTTTTAGATTCATTTTTACATTTTTCTTGGTACAGTTCATACATTTTAGAGATGGAAAGATTGCTATCTAAATACATTTTAGATGATGTTTTCCTGCAGTAATGCGACTCCATTACAGGGAAGGACTCGATGTGTTCTTTGACGACTTCTATATCTTTTTCTTTGGTTTTATTGACTGGTTCATGCTTGCTACGTCTGTCCTGACCTTTAAAAGAGCCTGATGTACCTACTTCTGAAAATGCCTTATTAATGGGACCATTCGATATACAAAGAGTGTTTTTAAAAAACAATTCACATGCCCTGATCTTTCTGTTATCCTTATTAAAGTAATAATAACGAGATACAGTTCTCTTCCTAGTTGCATTTACAAGACGTCTCTGAGGCGCTTGTACATTAACATTCATTAGTATAAAATCTTTCTGTCGGTAATAATCCGAAAGTGCCCAATAAGACTTACAGATTTCCTTTACTTATTGGTCGTCTTATGTTGCGGACAGTTAGCTTTGGAGATGGCGTATTTTCGATAATATCATGTGAATGCTGAAATAAAATATTTAGATACTGTCTAGACGTGACTACTGTCTACGTGAGTGCGTGCAATTTAATACTTAAATAGGTTTATTTAAGTATTAAATTGCACGCACTCACGTCACGCCGATCTCTGGGGGGGAGATATAATTAATCTCATTCATATTAAATACCAGTACACAGTTAAAAATCTTACATTCGACGACGACTCATCACTTGAAACCTTCCGACATTGTGCTTCGCAGTCTTCTGCATCACGATCACGATGTACTATTGCTGGAGGTAGTAAGTTCAACGAAAAATCCTAGATATCACAAAATCACCACCAGATATATGTAGGTAAGTAGTTATTGCTAAATAAGGAGCTAGCTGAACAGGCGTGAGGGTAAGTTATATAGTAGGCAGCAGCAAAAAAGCCCTAGGCATATACCTAGTGGTTAGTAATGATTTAACTGCCTGCATTTTTAACTTCAATCTGTTAGGTAAAAAGATAATTTCGTAAAATATACATAATTGACCATGATTAAGCCAAAGTAAGTACTTACATTTTCCGTAGATACTTCCTTTTACAATAATATTAATACTATTATTCTCCTTATTATGGTTCAATTGCTCCAACATTTTGCTTCCTCGTCCTTGTTTGAAACATTTATTTCGTTACATTTGCTAAGTACTCTTTCGTCCCGCGCAAACCCACCCTCACCCACGTTCGTCCTATGCCCCACGTTCCCTAGACAAACTGTTTTGTCGGATTTCCCCAAACCAAACATATAACTCACTAAACTACAATCGAGGAACCACGTAGCCTACAAGAAGTTACTATGTTTCTCTATTCGATGTTAACTTAATAAAATCATGCCGTTAACAAAATGAAAAAAAAATAATTAAAAAGAATAAATGATTTTATGGAAATCTTACTATTATTTATATTATAATAATATCGATAAAAATCATTAAGATTACTTATTGTGCATTTGTGAGAAATGATTCATTACAGAAACTAACTAAATGTAAATAATTAATTTTATCGAAATATAATTTTAAACTATTTATACTACACTTGTTTTGATAAAATTAATTACATGCTGAAAATGAGTTCTGTAATGTAATGTATTCTGTTTTAATTATCCGTTTAATAAAAATAACTAGTGCTGCTTACTGAATATTTGTAAATGCCTGACTTCCAAAGTTGCAATTATCAATTTTCTGCCAAAGAAGTAACGGCAAAAATTGGCCAGCTAGAAATTAGTGTGTTTTTTGCATTTTGTAGAATATGTAAAAATGAGCCCATTATAGATAAAAATGCATTTAGTGATTTTTTGCAGTTAATGAGTTCTTGCAATAAGCCGACGATATTCACTCACCCACATTTTAAGCATTTTTTTGATTAACTTTATTTTTTTATTTTCTTTTATACAACCCTTATGCTAACACAAAGAAAAAAGAATTATCCAATTTGGTGCAGTTGTTCATAAGTATGCGCGTACATACATTTCTTAGATTAATTTTTATTTATATAGAGATAAAACTGTGTAGTAACAATAATAATATTTAGGTATAATGTTTTTCAGTTTTGCAGGTTCTTGCGCCCATATCATCAAGGGAGCCTTGGGTGGAGGTATTCTATCCGGTCCTGTAGCTTACCAAAAGGCTGGTGTTGCCGTAGCCGTGCCTCTAAATATTATGTTTGGTACATTCATGTGCTATGGTTTATATGTAAGTTCGATGTTTTTGTTCGTATATATACGTAAATATATCGTCTTTCTCATTCAATTAATTTGAACTTTAAAAGCAAACAAACTGGCCAATACAAGCATGCAAGATGAGCAGATGGTAACCCAAATACAGCATTAATTAGTACCTGTAATACAGAGAAAGATGATAATTGTTAGAGATAGGACGGATATCCAGCCACCATCCGGCCAAAATTTACTATTCGACATGATATTGGATAGTAAGGTAGTATACGACAATATATTTTACATTACAGATAATTATAGCTCTATATTATGGCTCTACAAATGAAAATTTGCCATATTCTTAATAAAATAATTTTATTGACAGATATTCGTAAAAGTAAAGTTATTATATTATAAAATATCCCGAAAAGCACCCCACGCTTTTTCCTATAAAACGATTTTTCTTCTGGAACTTATAGAAAATGTTTTTTACAATAATTTTATTTTTGCTTTTTTAGTCATTAATGATGATTATTTTCTCATTAAGACTGAAAAAGTAACAGGTAAGTAAGACATATGCTTCAGCGCATGCCTCTTAGTACGTAGCATAAGACACTACCCTATTTTTAGGTATGGAAAAAGCCTTTAATTCTGAAGTACCTGATCAGGATAATCGGCAAAATTTATCAAATTATTATACGAGTATTGTCATCGGTGCTTGATAAGTGTGCGAAGTTTCCATTTAATTCGATGTTTAGAATTGGGTCAAAATCACCATACCAAGCTAATTAACGCATGTTAAAAATAGTATAGGTTTCTTTTTGTCCAAAAGAAATGTTTTGTTTATAATTTATAGAATAAATGTATTATTTAATGTGTCAGAACTAATTGTTTTTTAAAAATTAAACCTTTACTGTTTCAAGCTGCTGGTAAGATCTAAGAAAATTTTGATGAGGCGCACAAGAAGAAATCATTTGTCGTATGCTGACTGTGGAGAAGCGTCTCTTATGCTGTTTCCTAAGAAGGGTCTTGCGAGATTTTCAAAAGTATTTAGGTCAGTCTTTGTTCACTATTATTCACATGATCTTAGAATCTATTCCCTGTCTAATTAGTCTCATTCAAGACAGGGGCAGTATAAGAAAGAATGACAACTGAGACAGATTAAAATGGAAAAAGAAATCAATTTGGTGAACCTTATACTTTTCTTCACTAAGATGGTTGAGAATTTTAATAGCATTAGTTAGTTATAATTTTAACAACAATTTTAACAAAACTTTCTTTTTTTCTTTTCTTTCGTTGTCTTTCACTGAATGAGTGAGGTTACCGGAGCCCAAATCCACCCTTCCGCTGACTCAACGGGAGTGCGGAGGTAGCCGTCTGAACCGATTAGAATAAACTTTTTGGTTTGAAAGAAAAAAAAAACATTATATTTTCTCTTGTCTCATTCAAATTTGAGGAAAGATTCTACCTTTGATTGTGCAAATTAGAGAACGAAGAATACAATTTATTACGATAAATTACGATGTGGGCCCACTGAAGACGGTTAGCCTCACGTTATATCATAAAGATAGACAGAGAAAATGTCCACCTTTTAAATGTAGGTACAGGCACGACCAAACCGAAAGAAAAAAAAGTCTTTTTAGGACTTTTTGTATTAAAAATGCTTACGTGTTGTTTGTTTTACCCAGATTTATCATAGATGCTACCGTATGCATGGATATGTTTGGTGCATGTTGCACGTACCAGATTGTAGTTGCGAAGTCGTTAAAACAACTCGTAGAAAATACTCCAACTACCACAATCGCAGGAGCGCCAGGTATTAAAGACGACCTTAATTCAGTATTTTTATTCTATTACTTCGCCCTTGAAATTAGTTTGATTTGCTTAGTAAGTGAAAGGGTTGCGCATTTTTTCACACCGTTTTTTTTACAGGAAGTCTGAAAATATTTCTCATACCATTTTACCTTAAAATAATCACTCGATCGAAACTCATAATCGTCAGAATTCATAATATCACTAATCATACACCTGGTTTATATTAGGTCTTTACCTATGAAATTGCCTTTTTGTATGCAATAAGTGAAAGTACTTATTTTTTCAAACTTTTTTATTTCTGTTATTCGAAGTAATCACCCATGCAATCGACGCGTCTTTGCCAACGCATTGGCAGTTTGTTGATGCCCTTCTTGTAAAAATCAGCTGGACGGGAGGCAACAAACTCTTCAAAGGCATTTTGTACTGCCTCTCGGGAATTGAATTTTTTACCCACTAAAAAGTTGTCTAAATTTTGGAAAAAGTAATAGTCGGTAGGTGCAAGGTCTGGTGAGTATGGCGGATGAGGGAGAGCTTCCAACCCCAGCTCTTGCAGTTTGGAGACTGTCTGTTGCGCAGTATGGGGTCGCGCGTTGTCGTGAAGGAGCAGTGGGGACGACCGATTGACCAAAGCTGGTTGCAGATGTGACCACCAGACCTTGAACTTTTTAGTGGGTAAAAAATGGCAAAGATGCGTCGATTGCATGGGTGATTACTTCGAATAACAGAAATAAAAAAGTTTGAAAAAATAAGTACTTTCACTTATTGCATACAAAACGACAATTTCATAGGTAAAGACCTATTACTAATATTTGTTTTCATATATTGCTTAATCTCACAAGTGTTTTTTAGTAATAATAATATAATATTCTACCACATTCACAGAACGCCATTTTTTTGTAAATACATACATATTTTATTTAGAAACAACCAGATGACATCAAACATTAAATGTTCATGCATACAATTGTTTGACTTGAGCGGAAATCAAAACCCGCGACGTTTGGAATCCGTTTCACAAACCTAGCAAGTTATTCGAAGCGTTATCTTTCATTTTCTTAATAGTGTTGTATACCTACAATGCAAAAAATGAAAAGGGGATCAATAATACAGAGATAGAGGGGTTTAAAAGTTAGTTTATTAACAAGGCTTAGGAACTTAAAATTTTTGATTGTGTGAAATGATGTATTTAAGGAAGGTCTCCATTAGGTATATGAGGACGAGCGAAGCGAGGAAGAGTGTTAGGGTAGGGTAGAACTGGAGTGCTTAGAACGGTCAATCTTCTAGCACAAAGGCCAGAGGAGGCTATCTTTTTTTGGCCAATTGAGGAGGCTCCTTTTTGGTCGAAGCTTGGTCCAACAGAGCCCGCGTATATGCCTACTCTTCTGTTGGCTCTTCGCTTAAACACGCTGCTATGCGCTGGGGGCTAGCTAGCCGACCCAGGCTGCCAGGATTGACGTCATCGCCCATGGAGGATGTTGTAGACTGTCCAGTAATGGAGCAAGTCTCTAAGCTCTTTCTTGAGACCCTCCTTCTCCTTCTTGAACCATTGTGCCGTCTCTTCTTACAAACCATGGCCCAGTAGTCGATCGGTGTGGCTGTAACCGCGAAACTCTTATTATGTTCCTCCCCAAATTAGTTGTGTGACCGGGACGTCTCCCTGGCAGTCGTCGGCTTCATGGCGGCTTACTCCCCGCTCTTGTCGCTAAGAGACAAAGGCACTGGATATGTTAGTACCGATTGGGGATCACCATATTTAGTGTGTACTTCTCCACCAACCGGAGTTTGAGTGACTTCGAGGTTTTCCTCAATAACTTGAAGACCTCGATGCGGCGACTAGCATCTGGGCACGTGTGCTGGACGACTTCAACGCAAAGTCCATTGCGTGGGGTTCTCCCAGGACGGACGTAAGGGGCGAGGCCGTAGAGGATTGGAGGGGCTCGACAGAGGCTCCACCAACCCATGCGTGCGACAATAGCGGGTCGTTAGTGAACTTTTTGTTTCCTACCCCTGTCCTCTCCACACGAGTAAGGAACTGGCGTGTCCTGAAAGAGGTTGACACGCTCTCAGATCACCTATAGGAATGGGCATCGTAACGACTACTGAAATGGTGTATTCAGACCATCATTCTGTTTGATTAATTACATTGTATTTTTTGACCGTATGCGCTATTTATTTATTTATTTTTGGTAAAATGTTTTGTTTACTCATTGTGATGTAAGTTTTAAGCAAAAAAAAATAGAAACTTATAAAACAAAAAAAAGTGTTTTTTTTCCGAAAAAAAATCTAATGATCTTCGACTCAGAATCATGTTCTGAATAAACTATTTCAGTATTCGTTACGATGTCCCTTACACCCTATATAATTCTTCTGTGCATATGTATTTGTTTAAACTCCTCCTAAACGGCTAGACCGATTTTGATAAATTAAATGTAAAAAGAAAATAAAAACATTTTGTAGTGAACTTGAATACACATTCAAGTTCACTACAAAATGTTTTTAATTTCTTTTAGTTAAGAAGTGTGTACAGGACTTATCTGTCGGTTCCGCTAGCTTTTTATAAATAAAATATTGTCCGAGTGGTGGTGGATTAAAATATGGAGTGTAATCATCCCTATTCATCTCATGGGTGTTGTAAGAGCCTACTGAAGGAGCAAACTCTGGAGGATTACAGCACTGCAAAGAGAAAAAAAACTTGAAACAAACCCTTTTTTTTTTTTTTACGTGTGGAAATCCCCTCGGACCGTCACCCCACCGGGGTTTGCGGCGGGGTGGTGTGTCGGACTCGGACCGACTAAAACCACACGGTGTGCCACTCTGCGCCTGTAATAGGAGGGCTCCGGGAACAGCTGTTATCAAGATATCCGGACCCCTCCTAGCGCCGGCCGCTCCTGTTGCGGGCTCCGTCTCAAAATATTTTTTTTCCTCTCTTTAGGCAACGTCCGGCACACGCGGACGCCGCCCCCTGGCGGCTGGCCAAACTAATGCGGGTGGAGGGGAAACCCACCCCGTCCACCCGCGGCCACACTCAGGGCGGCATGAGGCGGTGATAAGCGCGCCTCCGCCGCCCAGTTCGCCGGCGGCGGATCGGGTCCGAGTGGAGGTCGTCCTCCCGGGCCTTCTCCGCCGCCTCCTTCTGCGAGATTACTTCCTCGCAGAAGGTTGCGACCGCGGTAAAACAACTGTCGCTACCGGCCATGGAGCGTACTACGGCCGGTAGCGAGAGATCCACTCCGATGACTGCAGTGAGGGCCCGGCGCTGCGTCGCCCATGCGTTGCAGACCGCCAGCGTGTGCTGGGCCGAGTCCTCACTGCAGTCGCAGTGGTGGCAGGCGGGACTCAGTTCCCTCCTAGCGACCGAGTGCAGGTACTTTCCGAAGCAACCGTGCCCGGAAAGCACCTGCGTCAGCCGGAAGGTAAGGGTCCTGTGCTGCCGCCCTGCCCACTCGGCGATGACCGGCTGGAGAGCCTCCACGGCGGCAAAGCCAGCACGTGGAGTCTCCAGCCGGATCGACCAACGAGCCATCGTGGCTCGGCGAACGGCTTCGCGCCACTCGCGCACGTCTTCGGGTGAAACAAACCCTGTACCAACCCGTTTTGCCAGCTTAGTATAGCAGGTCAAATCCACCTTTCTAGGGAGAAGCCGACGATCGACGTCGCTATCGTTTGGTCATCACCAAACTTAAATACTCTGACTCGCGAATTTGTAGGTAATAAATTAACTGAGATATTTAGATCAAAAAATAGGTCTGGGGTGCCTCAGAGTTAACTTCGTTTATTAATGAAGTTCCATATAATACACCTTATTGAATGCACCTTATTATTTCCAGGCTATCCATCTCTAAGAATATACCTGCTCATAATGTTGCCGATGTTCTGTCTTATATGTTTGATAAGACATCTCAAGTATTTGGCGCCTTTTTCACATGCAGCGAACGGAGTTGTGGGTGAGTAGCATATTTACTGTGGCCCACAAATTTTACGATCATCGTTCCGTCCCTTAAGATTCGTGGGATCTTAAGAATCTATTGATTTCCTGACAAAGTGGGCTACCAAAATGGACAAAAACTTTATTCGACTTTTATTACAATATATTCCGAGTAAATAAATATGTATAAACAAATATATACCTACGTATTATAAAAGTTAGTTGGCTATTTAGTTTTTTTTTCACATAATATATATTTACATATGTACATGTATACAGTTTAGATGTGCAATCCTTATTCTTATCGTGTTTAAATTGCCACTGGTTTTAAACCCAATTATTGTGTTAAAAGAAAATTAACCAGAAATTAATTTTTTTTTTTTCATGTCTTAGCATCCTCTATTATGATGACAATATACTATTGTTTTCAATATAATCCACGATTTGAGGGTTTGGTACTAACAACCAACTTTGAAGGCACCTTTCAATTTATTGGCATGTCCGTGTTTGCTATGTCTTGTTCTGGTGTTGTGGTAGCTATTGAAGGTAACATGAAAGATCCGACTAAGTTTACAAGGTGTTTATTAATTGGTATGTATTAAATATTTTTTACATTACTTTATTATTGAGTATTATGGATGTAGTTTTAGACAAAAGTTTGCATGTTTCTATTTTATTGACAAATTATTGCATCTTTGTTAAATGGTTATTGCTACATGCGCCATACTGTATCAAATTAGAAATATCTAGATAAAAAATGCTCTAAGAAACTTGATAAACAACAAACAAAACATAAACATAAGGGAGTAGGGCCACCCACTCAGTGCAACGAAAGAATTGTTTAACACAACCAGTGCTCTGTGAGGACGTGGTATCACAGTGGCCGAGCCGGCCGATATAGGTTTCACTACCATGCTTATCTTATAATAGGTCTGGGAAAAGTCTTCGTATTTATTATAAAATAAAACGTTATAATTTTATAATATATAATGTACTTAGTATTTAATAAAGTTAAAAATATAGTAAAGGTACGCCCAAACAAAAGTTAAGAAAATTAGTGTCATACTATCAGTCAGATGAATTAAAAAAAAACATTGATAACAAAATTACTCCGCAATTTTGTGACATTTAAAAACAGTCGTCTTTTGTCGTCTCGCACGCATAGACTACGTTCTCCAGTGTTTCTCGTTGTGTATTTTCTCGTGACTGTTATTTTTGTTATTTTGACTGTTCTTCTTGATATACTGACCTCTGCGCTAATCTGGACTTTTAGTGTACGAGTATAATAACAATGCCAAAACGCGGTCAAACATTGAAAAGTGAAACTCGTGAACTAAATATCAAGCTACAATATTACTTTGAGCGTGAAAGACAAAATGGCGGAACTTTTATTCTTGTCGACCAGGTCCAAGAACGCATCTCTCAGGCACTTGGCAGTGAGCAAACGGACGATAGCAAATATAAATAAAGAGAAGTTCGGCTCATCTGGCATGGAAGAAATTTATTGATTTATTACTGATTTATTAAAGGGAGGCAAAACTCGGGCACGCCGTCATCGCGGCGGTTAGACCCGTTATGGAGGATTGTCTCGAGAGGCGTCACGGGACCCTCTCATACCGACTGACGCAGGTGATCACTGGGAAAGGATGTTTCGGGGATCACCTGTGTCTGATCCGCAAGGAGCCAACGCCTGAGTGCCACCACTGCGATGGCCAGACCGTGGATACGGCTCTCCACACGCTGGCGGAGTGCCCGGCGTGGGTTGAGCAGAGGCGAGACCTCGTGGCGGCCATCGGAGTGGGAGTTCTCTCGCTCGATAGCCTGATTGCGGCTATCGTGCGGAAATGTCACCTACTGGTTTCTCGCCGAAAGACAGTAGCCGTAGGCGCGTTATTAATTCGGACTTAAGCAGTAATGTTTCGTCTCCTACTGGTCGTGATAACTGTGGGGAGTACAACTACTGTGACTTAGTATCACAGGCCACTGATTATTTAGCAAAAATTAATGAATTAGTTAATGATCAGGGATCTCGGATGAATGTAGGTAATAAAACGGCGATTATGGATATTACTCAACGAATTACCGGTATCGTATCTTTGTTAGCAATAAAATCCTCTAGCAACGAAACGAAGTTAGCGAATTTTGAGCGACAAATGGAGGGTATCGCAACCCAACAAACGAGTTTAACGTACGCGGACAAACTTAAGCTTCGCTTACCACCTAAATCTGCTCCGTGCCCGGTACCTACTGAAGCGCGCGTTCCTAGGCCTTGTGTCATTGCCTATCCCACTACGGAACGCCTAGCGGACTATGCGACCTCGTCAGCAACAAAACAAGCTCTCATGAAGGCTATTAAACCGAGCGATGAGGGATTTCAAATTGTAGGCGTTAAAAAAAACCTCTAAGGCAGGCGTCGTGTTACGTGTAGCTAACGAACGGCAGCTTAAGAAACTGGAATCTGTGGACGCCATTAAATCAGTAGGGTTGCGCTTAGAAAAACCGTAAAATAACCGAAAGAGTAACCGAAAGGCCGTAGGCCCCGTATAATTGTAAAAGACGTACCCGGTTCTATGGAAGATCGTGCCTTCCTAACAGCCTTATATCGTCAGAATATCAAGGACGAATTAAAATTAAGTGAGAACGATTTTATTAAGTCAGCCAAAATTGTTAGGCATCGTAAACTAGAAAATGGGCGTCAATGGATAGGCTTAGAATTAGAGGCAGCAGTTCGGAAACATCTAGCCAACACAAAAGATAAACTTTATATAGACTGGGCCACATGTAGATTCATAGACGATATAGAAGTAGTTCGTTGCTTAAATTGTCAGCAATTCGGTCATGTACAAAAGTTTTGCACCATTAAAACCCCTACTTGTGCTAATTGCGCCGCCGCACACGAAACGCGAGCTTGTCCAGATAAAGACACACCAGATTTTAAGCCCACGTGCGCACAGTGTAAGCGGTTCAAAAAACCATCTGACCATCGATGCGGCTCATACGACTGTGCCACATACAAATTAAAACTGGAACAGCTAATATTAAATACCAATTACTGAATAGTTTAAAAGTTTAAAGAGTAACTTACTAAGTAATGAATAATATTTCGATAGGCCAGTTAAATCTTCATAACGATAAAATAGCTACATCAGAATTAGACCGTTTAATTTTAGAACAAAAGTTAGACATTGTCCTTTTACAAGAACAATATCAGAGCGCTCACTTGCGTCGTAATGTAGTACAGCTTGACTGCCGTTCGCAGGCTGGGATATATGTTGCAAGTTCTAATTTTACGGTTACATCTTTGCGTAATCTTATGACGTCACACTGCGCCGTTGCTGAGATCTCATCCTCTACCTGTAAGGTTTACGTAGTGAGCTGCTATTTTCAATATTCACATCCTATTGATCCTCACTTACATCACTTACGTTACGTCTTGCAGTTCCTCGTGGGACATAAAATTATCATTGGCGCTGATGTCAATGCGTCATCTTCATTATGGTATGGCAAGTTGCGTTCAACCGACACGGTTCGACGTTGTGCGGTTGAAGATTTCATTGCGGAAATGAATCTTATTATTCACAATACCCCCGATGCACCACCAACTTTTTGCAACCCAATGGGTGAGTCTTCTATTGACGTGACGCTTACGCGCGGCGACGTCTCGATATCCGGATGGCGTGTCCTTCCGGACGCATCCTGTAGTGATCACCGCTTGATCGTGTACGAATTCATACCAAGGGTTGCACAGGATCCACAAGAGGCTCCCTATAATTTTAGATATAAAACTAAAGGTGCGAACTGGGCTTTGTTTGGTTCACTCTTTGCAACTCATACCAAAGACTTCAGTCGCAGTAGTTTATCAGCTGAGGAAAGCGCAGAAATACTATCAGAAACTTTTACATACTGCGCTGATGTAACTATTGGTCGCGGATCTATCACTAACACTCGTAGATGTGATTGGTGGAATGATAGATTAGCCGAACTACGTAGAAGCTACCGGAAAGCTCGTAGAAAATTAAACACTATTAAAAAACATAACGTAACAGGAGATTTGTACAACAATGCTCTCATTGCTCTTAGAGTTGCCAGGTCCCACTACAGAGCTGCTGTGGAAAAATCCAAGGGAAACTTAATTCAGAAACTTGTTGATAAACTCGATAGAGAGGGCCCGTGGTCACCTTTGTATCACGAATTTAAAGCAAATAGATCAATCGACCTTGCATACATACAGAACATCAAAATTAATAACAGATATACCACAGGAGTAGAACAAACAGCAGAATATCTTTTAGACTCACTCGTACCTGACGATCGACCGGAGAACGACACTGATCATCACCGACAGATCAGGCAGTGGGCCATCGAACCACCACAATCTCCAATGTCTGATTTACCATCTTCAGACGAATTTCTCGGTATCATTAGATCCTTGCCGCTAAACAAGGCTTCGGGCGATGATAAAATATCTAACAAAATGATAAAAGAAGCTTGTAAACTTTCGGGTGACACGATTTTCACTGTCTTTAAACGTTGCATTGCTGAAGGAATATTTCCTCGTATATGGCGGTGCGGTAATATTCGTATAATACCAAAAAGTGGCGACAAGCCACCGGATGATCCTAAATCCTACCGACCAATCACATTGTTACCATCGTTAGGAAAGCTTTTAGAACGTCTTGTAGTGCCCCGGCTTCTGCCAGGTGGAGTCAAATTTCATGATAGACAATTTGGATTTACGTTGGGTAAATCAACAACTGACGCTGTTATATCGGTTAGAAAGTTTGTCACAGGGTCAAAATTTCAATACGTGCTGGCTATTTTCTTAGATATATCTGGCGCCTTCGACAACGCATGGTGGCCCATGCTGTTGCTGAAATTAAAATCACGGGGGTGCTTTAAAAATATTTATTCCCTTATCTCTTCGTACTTTTCACAAGGTACAACTAAACTAAGACTTGGTCATCATTCTGTGTCGAAGGCGCTTACAATGGGATGTCCTCAGGGATCGGTGCTAGGTCCATACTTGTGGAATATCGGCTTCGACGATTTTCTTGCGATACCAATACCATCCGGATGTACTCTGAACGCGTATGCTGATGACGGCTTATTACTGGTGGAATCTGATACTAGGGCGGGGCTTGAGAGATTAGCCAATAGATGTTTGAACTTGATATCTCAATGGGGTGAACGTAATCGCTTAACTTTTGCACCCAACAAAACCTTCCAGCTACTTTTAAAAGGTAACCTCAAATCACCGCCGAGCATTAGATTTAACAATGTTACTGTAAAAAATAAAACCACAGTGTGTTATCTAGGATTAGTTTTAGAAAGAAACTTTTCATTTATCGAACATATTAAAATAGTTAATGAAAAGTCTAAAAAGAGTTTCTGTGCATTGACAAGGATATCAACTGCGACATGGGGTCTATCATTTAATACATTAAAGATCATATACGGAGCTACTTATTTAGGTTCTATGTGCTATGGTGCACCTGTATGGGCCGATAGGGCGACCGTAGGCGCTGTCCGTCGCAAACTGTTACAAGGCCAACGACTTGCACTGATATTCTTGTGTAAGGCATATAGGACGG